TTTCTCAGGTTCATATTAGGCTCTGGAAAATATATGGCTTGAAGTTTCCATTGCATTCATTTTTCTTTTAACTATAGTAATCATTTGGGTAAAAACAAAATACTAATATTTCTGCTTTTGAGGCTCTGGAAAATATATGGTTTTGTTTCCATTGCGTTCATTTTTCTTTAATCATTCCAGTAAAAACAAAAATACTAATATTTCTGCTTTTGAGTTGTTGCTAGTTGGAAACCCAGCTTCATTTACCTTTTAGGTCCCTCATGTTCGACAGCTACTTACTATTCTCGGTAGTGTTCTGTGAACACTGCCTCAGAAATGATGGAAATCATTGCACTTCTACTTCTGGTCACGGAGGGTCTCATATAAGGGGATCTTTGGGGGAGAGGTGTGCTTCTGTTGACTAATTCTTTGATTTTTGGAAATAGATTTCCACAATGGGAATGGGAATCTCGCCAATTCCAGTGTGTGTGTTAAAGGGGATAGGTCAGGGCGTTAAGCAGAATGTTCTAGTCTTTAAAAACGTTTGCTTTTTAAATGATAATTCTACAAGTTCTATTTAGTGGTGACACAAAGGAGATGCTTGATAAATATATTTCAAATTAGTATTTATTAATAAGCACTAACCTATTTTGGGGGGTAGGAAGAAGATTTGATTATCTTTAAACTTGTTTTCTGGTGGCACAGGAACTAATTGCAGTTGATACAAAGAGCTGTCTATAATTAAGAGCCACTTATTTGTATGGTGTAGCCCATGGATTTGTAAGAGTCCAGAAGAAGGGTACGGGTAATCAGGACTGAAAGGATAAAATTTGCCCCAGTAGGTTATGTAGTTGTGAGTGTGGGGTTGAATTGAATGCAGGTGATTGCTCAGAGGATGGTCTCAAGACTGCATTTGATCTTTCTCTATTATATTTACCCTCCTATTCAGAGATTCCCAGGAGCATTGTTGATTCTTTTTTTTTTGTTCAGGCACACAATGGAGTAGAATTTGGGGGCATTCCATAGGAGCTAGCAAATCTGTTTGAATCCCAGAAATTTTCATTTGTAAGCATCAGAGTTTTAAAGTACACCTAGCAAAGGAAGAGTGAGAAAGAGTGGCTTTAAGAAAGGAGAAGTAATTGGATACTCACTTGTTTTAGGGTGATGGAAAAATTTAATTTTATTTTAAGAATATTTAGTATATGTGCTGCCGAAGCGAGCACTTAAGAATATTTAGAATTTTGGTTCTGTTTTTATCTTTGAGCTCTTTGAAAAGAGGAATTAGGTTTTATCCATATTTTAACTCCATCTCCATGGTTGCAGACATATAATAAGCATTCAATAACTCATAAGTCCTTTATTCATCTAAAATATAAGGGGAATTTGAAGCCGATCCCTTTTTTTCTTTTCAATGGTGATAGAAAACACATAACATAAAATTACCATCTTAACCATTTTTAAGTGAACAGTTTAGTAGTGTTAACTAAATCCACATTGTTGTGTAAGGCCCATCTGTTTTGAATGGCTGGTACAGTATCTTTACTCTTGAAAAGAATGGAACCTTATTCTGTTGCCAACGTTAAAGGCCAAGTTTAATTGTCTTGTCAATGGCTCTTTATTTTTTTAGTGTTAGATTCATCAGTGTGCATGTTTCTCTTGCATAGTTCTTTCTGTAATACCCACATGATCTGACCTAGAATGTAGCTACATTTATGGCATGTTGAGGTCATTCATGACAGATTGTTTTCATTGTACCAAACCTTTGCTATACATAACCACTGAAGAAAGTCCTCGTGATCTGATGAAAATGAAAATGCCTTTTTAGTATTTTATAGACTAGTCACTGCATGTAATTTCTGGGCTCATAGCTTTGTAAATCCTTTCAGTTCTCCTTTTTATTTGCTTTTAGGGCTCTAACATCTTTAACATGCAACCATCCACTAAAATTTAAGCCTCATCTCTTTAGATTTAATGTTTATAAATGATTTCAACCCATCCAAGGTTTTTACAAAGAATGTCAGTCCTTGGAGGCTACAGTGCAACTATCTTGTTACTATATAGATTGGGGAATAGGGTATGCTGACTCTAGAATGAGATTATCTGTGGCAGGATAGAAAATTGTACTTTGTAAATTGGGTTTATTTTTGTACTTGAATTTTATTTATTATTACCATTTATTCTCCCTTAGTATTTAAATATTTCAAAAGTTAGAAAAGAACTTTAAAAAGGACTTTTATTGTGTATGGCAGATAAGTGATTGCTAGTGGTTTAGAAAAAAAAAAAAAAAAGACTTAGGGTTGCCTGGGTGGCTCAGTCAGTTGAGCGTCCGACTTCGGGTCAGGTCATGGTCTCGTGGTTTGTGGATTCGAGCGCCATGTCAGGCTCTGCGTGGACGGCTCAGAGCATGGAGCCTCCTTTGGATTCTGTGTCTACCTCTCTTTTTCTCTCTGCCCCCTCTCTCCCAAAAATAAATTTAAGAAAACATTAAAAAAATTGTTAAAAACAAAAAAAAAGACTTGTAGTGGAAAAGATATGTTGATAAGGTGTCTGAAGGGAACAATACAAAAAGACCTGTTGATGAGAGATATTATGGAGCATTGCTTATTATAGAGGAAGAGGATGTATTTAAATTGGAATAAAGCAACAGTGAATGATAGTTGTATTTTGTGGAAGTTGGATTAGATTTGGTTCTTGAAATTGTTTTATAACCTTCTAGCAGCTTTTCTTTTTTTTTTTTTTTT